ATTAATTTGAAGTATTATTTATTATTCAATGAAAATATAAAACGAAAGCCTTCAGAGTTTGATTCTTATATATTGCTTATTGGTCGTATTAAATAATTTTTTGTAGCCACTTACTTTCAAATTTTAAATTTAAAATTTAAAACTTTAAACTTCAATGTTTAAAGTTTAATTCTAAGCCTTAATTCTAAGCTTTAAAAGTTTGCAAATACTTAAGTATCAATAACATTAAATAAGAAAAATAAAATATACTAAAAATAATAATAATAAGTAACCCAGCCCGGTCCGGACCCGTTAAGCCCGAACTCGGACGGCCCCACCAAAACCCGAAAAATCTCAGCCCACTACCAGCCCGGAACCCCAGCCCACTAACCAGCCCCGGAACAATAACCGGACGGGCTATTTTTTTTCGTGTCCAGCCCGAACCAGCCCGTCCAGTTAACACCTTTAGTTCAAACAGACCCCTTACTAGAAGGTGGCTGTGTAGATGAGGTGCTCTTCAAAAGACTTGTATTTGTGTGTGAAATTTGAAATTTTTATTAATAAAATAAAAGGCTTTAGCCTTGAATTTTTGTTATGAATTGTCTTACTTAGTTACTTTATAGCTTGAGATTAAATTAAATAAATTATAAGTCTATTACAATTACTAAAATATTTCGCTATAAGTCTTTTATTTTAATATTTTATAATTTTTTACTTAGTTTTATTTATTTATAATTTATTAAGTTTTAAGTTCAAAAAGTCAAAAACTAGCCGTTGCAAACTTAAAAAAATTAGTCATTGTCAACTTTAAAAAAATAACTGTTGCTTTCTATAAAAAATATAGTTGTTGTCAACTTTAATGCTTAAATATTTAAATTTAGAAAAAAATGCCCACTTAGGGCCTACAATCCGTCCCGTTTGTTAGTGGGACAGGACGGGCCTACCGGGTCGTCCTGTTTATCCCGTCCCGAATAAGGCTCGATCCTTTTTTGTCCCGGTAAAATTCCGCCCTGTCTCGTTTCGTCCCGTCCCGTCCCGTTGGACAGCGATACTTATAAGTAGTTTGGTGTTAGGTGGAAAGACATTTTTTTGGGGGAAAAAAGTTTAAAAGGAAAAATTGCAAAAACTCGTCTTGAATGTTTGAAGCAAACGCCAATTCCTTAAGTTGGAAGTTGAGTTCTTTTCTACGAAGCTCCCTCTAGAGTTATTACCCATGAGAAACGAATCATTGCGTTTGCCCGCGTATGAGAAGAGAAGTGGGCTTTTTAATATTTTAATTTCCAGTGTCAACTCTACCGCCTATGTGTTGCCACGTCTGATAATTTGTCCCATTGGATTAGAACTGTATTTATAGGATGGGAAAAAATTGATTCTTCCAAAATTAGCTGGAATCTGCGTGCAACTAGCCCCTTTTTTTTTTTCAAAAAGAAAAAATCTGTATTATTGCCAATCTCCCTTCTCTTTATACAATCTTCAATTACACAAACAAAACAAAAAAACGTAGCTTCATTTCACAATGTATGTAGTGCTCTTGATTTCTTGATTTGAATTTCATTTTTATCCCCAAAGATTTTCATCTTTTTGATCAATAATCATTATATGATCAAGTGGGTGTCTTTGAATTTGCTAATTGAGTAATAGGTAATCATTAGTTTTCTCAATTCAGGTCAAAGAAGAAGATGGGTCATCACCACCATCATCACCACCACCACCACGAAGGAGGCAGTCCGTATGATGATCCATTTTTGGCATGTTGTTGCTGCCCTTGTTTGCTACTCTCCTCTGTTTTCTCTATGTTTAGCAGGTGTATCTTTATGGCCTGTTATCCTTTTCTGCAGTGTCTTGGATGGGATGAACACAGACACCATCATCACCACCACCACAGCCATTTCTGTTAATCTCGAATTAAAGAAGTTGCTTTTTTGAGTCTTCAACTCTAGCAAGATAAAGGTGTGAATTTGTGTTCAATTTCAGAGGATTGTTAGTGTTTCAGTTTGGTTGTTGTGTATACTTTTTATCTTGTACCTGCTAGTTTACTTTTGAGTTATTGTTTGTTCACTCGGAGTCCAAAGGGGTTGAAGAACAATAGAATCTTTTCAACCATTTGCTGTCTCAAAACATTAATCACCAAGTTCCATATGTTTTGCTTTTCTTTTTTGGGAATTTGTGATTCAAAACCAAGGATAGTAGTCCTCCAGATGTGATCATTTTGGAGAATCAGAATGATGATTGTGAATCTCCAACTTCCCCATATTAAAAGGAGAAATATAATGCTAAACAACTAAGAAATGTTGTCTAACTGCTAATGAGATACAAAATTTTGCCACAAATTACAAGCTCTGACACAAAAGGTACGCTCCTTCTTGGGATGAGACAGAGAAGAGCAAAATAGATGAAAAGAAAGTGGTAATGAAATCCAGACAAAGCATTGACCGTAGTTTTAAAATAGTTAAACAACATTGATTATGTAAAAGAAAAAAACTTTACAATGTTGATGTGTATGTAACATAAGTCCAGTGTAGAGGATGAAAAGTCATACTAAGCTATTGTAAAATGATTGGAAAAAAAAAGATGATGCCTTAATGAAAGCAGGAATTTCTAAAGCTCCAGAGATATACAATTGAATTCACGAGTCTTTAGAATCTCGTAATCACTCTTATACATGGTAATAGAAGATGACAGATGATCAAAAGAGTCACTCTATGCATCAGCATTGCATTATTTGACATCTCAGCCTTTCGACATCGGAGTGCTTCAGAGGCTTCAGCATGAAAATCTGAGCTCCTTCTTCCATGCATCTGTCCATTTCACACAAGTACTCTTTGTTCAGTATCAGATATGACAGCTACAAAAATGAAATATATATAATATTGAGGTGGTTATTTATAAGACAAAAATTACTGATTAATTCGAGTTGGGATATTCTCGGATGACATTATCACAACCGGCACATCCTTCATGATCGATGATTCCTGCTTGCAATGCAATAAAGCAAATTTGAGTTCAAACTCATGATGAGTAAAGATCAACAGAAAGAGTTGTTTTTGTAGAATATAATTATATATGTGCTGAACTACGTTGCAGCTCTCTGAAAACTACCTTGATTTTCTTAAGCAGTTCATAACCTGTCATTCCTGGCATGCAATAATCTGTTATTATCATATTAACTTTCGAACCCTGCACACAAGAAACTATATATATTAACACCACAACTTAGTAGAGCCTGCATTCAAGTATTTGAGTTTTAAGTTATATACACAGAATTGCAATTCGATCAATTGGTTATATAACAAGTTATTATTTTATTTTTGAGATTATCATATAACGTGACCATTGCGCAAAATGCAAACTCAATCTTTATTCAATAGGGACTCACATTGCAATTTGTAGAGCTGTCATGATGTGCTCCCAAACCCAAGTACTCCAAAGCCCTCAGACCATCTTCTGCAGTAGTTACTGAAGGGAAACTTGCAAATCATGAGATAGATTATATTGATCCATCTTTCACTAGCTTGTGCATTAATATAATGTTTCACATTTATGTTAATAGCTTAGACATCTTTAATTGCCATGTGTAGCGCAAATCAATCGCGTAATTTAACAGTTGGATTGCAGCAAAAAAAAAAAAAAAAGAACTTAGCTTGTATGTTCAAGGTACAGATAATCCAGTGAAGGCATGGTGTTAATTTCCGACCAAACTGAGACAATATCTTCATACAATATAGTAATTTATATTATCGGGGCTGTATCTTTCCTATTTATGGGTAAGGAAAATAATGAAAAGCCATGAGTTGATCAGTCACGCACGTTATGAACCACATAGGCTGAAAAGTAAAGATTTAAAGATGTAAAACAAACATAAAGAAAAGCAGTGTGATCACGTAGGTACAGCTGTTGGCAAATCCAAAAGGTTGACCAAAGGACTAGGTAAATGCCAATATCGATTTAGTTTTCAGGCACGCTTTTACATTTTTTTCCCCCCTTCGACTATTCTATATTGGGGTTTGAGTCCTAGCGTAGGCAGAATCTTACACAAACATATATTCATAATTTGGTTTTTAAGCGGGATTAGATCGGGGTTTTGGTGCTTATTAAAGCTTTACTTCATATACCAACTAATATTTGTATTGTTTTAAACTAGAGGCAGATCCACGGTTAAACTTGAGAGGTTCCGCCTATAATTTTTTTAATACTAATCTTATTTAAGTTTTAAAATTATAGGTTCAGATCTAATTTTATGTACATTTTAGTAGTTTTTCACTTATAAATCAATGTTCAATATTGAAAATACATGAACCTGCTGGCGATGTGATGAATCTGCCTTGTTTTAATGTGGTGGCGACCTATATATTATCTACGTAGAAAATTTTTGTGTACACACAATATTAGAAAATATTCTTGCAAAGCAGTATTTGATGACATCCTTGCTAAAGGGTGTCTCCTGTTGAAAGATTCAACATTATAAAATCTTCATCTCCAGTCTTTCTTATGTTCCACTTTTCTGGGAATATTGTTATTGTCTACGACTCTACGTTGCACAATGCAGTGCTTGAGAAACATTCAACATTATATTGATATCAAGTCTAAATAAATAGAAACTGAAACACACCATCCACTTAAAGTACAAGGAGATCTAGGATATTCAAAAAAAAGTGCTTACCTTTGCAAGAGGATTTCTTGAGTAACTTCTCGACAAGTTTACGATCAACAAGATTGTCATCCACAGCTAGCACATGGGGTTCATCACTTGCAATTATTCCTCTTGAAATTGATAACGATGAAGCAGAAGAAGCAAACCTCTCCATTTCTTTCACTTAATTAATCCGCAGAAATTTCACTTTTACCCAGGAGAATAACATGCAGAGAGAAGAATCAAGAATGAAACTTTAAAGGAAAAGTAATGGAAAGAAAGAAGAAGAAGAAGATAGAAGAAGAGAGGTAATTATGGGACTAAAAGGATGGCGTGGGGTGGTTTTTTTAAGGGAAGGAATCAGCAAAAACAAAATCAAAGAAAAGGATTGTCACAGATATTTCGTGATCTTGATTTTCACTTAAACAATATCCATATCAGTATATCTGCACACCGATTCCTCATATGCTCCCTCCAGCTCATTCCTTATTTTCTTTCTTTTTCGTGCTTAGTATATGTACGTAATTAAAGGGTAATCATGGGTAGTGTAAAAGAATGTTATAGGTAACTGCACATGTTGAGAGAAATTAGTAAAATGAAAATGAAGACAGACCATCTGTATAAGTAACAACATGTTAAATTACACTGATGGTGCAAAAACAAATTATATTGCCATTATACATGTTAAATCAATAAACAAATGACTCAACTATTTGATTTTAAAAAAAAGTCAAGTAGGTCTCAGTATTTCATTTGATGTGGTCATATGAAAGATGGAATAGGATGCAGAGTATCTGCTGGCAAAATAGAAAGGATTTTGAAAATAAACGATACGGTATCCAAATAATTCCTCATAATGGGGACCAAAATCTGGATGCTGCATTGTTAAGATTTCCCACAATAAATTTTCATTAAGAGATGTGTTGTCTCTTGAACTCAGTCAGAGTAATTACTAAGCATGTAATCAATGGGTTCTGATTTTCATTCAATTTCAATACTTCATTATTCAATTAAGTTGCATTAATGTGGTGATTCGCTGCAGTAGTTAATGGATTTACCTTGTATTTACACTATCAATATGCTCCCTCCGTCTCAAATTATTTGTCGTGTTCTTTGAAAATAATTATCTCAAATAATTTATCGTTTTAGAAGTTTAAGACAAAATTAATTAATTTTTTTCCATTTTACCCTTAATTCTAGTAATTGTTCTTGAAGACTACTCCTCAACTATAGAGTAAATATGCAATGAAGAGAGATTATATTTAAAAACATAAATAATAGTAAAATAATCAAAAATCTCTCCTACTTAATACTTTTTTAAGAGGCGTGTAAAAGAAAAATATAACAGATAATTTGAGACGGATGGTGTATATTCTAACATACGTAAGAGATGTTTGCAATAGTGTTTAAAACTTATAGAACGTGAAACAAAACTTAAACTAAAAAGCATTTAGAAAGAAAAACCTAGTAGAGCAAGTTACACGGGCCATGCAATTGTTTGTGCAATTTGATAAAATCACTTGAATAGTACATTTTGACAGCTATAATAGAATTTCATTAACTTTTTTTGATTAACTAACACTCAAGTAAAAGAAGCTCAATAAAAATAAAAATAATTATTCGCTATTATAAAGGCGTAAGGTTCAAATTTAACCAACCCTCACCTTCTCCTTCTCCATATGCCACTTAATGACGATATATACGAACGGTTTTTTTGCATTTGTTGAAGAGTTTGGTCTACATCTAATTTTCCCATATCTCTGTTGATATTTGTTGGAAGGTGTTTACTCGAAAAATGGATAGAGTTGAATTTATACGTAGTTCTAAAGATACGTGATATAAATTGATACAAATCGTGAAAAATATGCAAATGAATATCGAAATTAGTTATAAAAGAAATGGAATGAAACCGAATGAACTAGTTAACTTAAGCCTTCAAGTTTTATCACCTCCAAATTGAATGAAGAACGATTGATAGAAAAAACAATATGACTAAATATCAAAAGCCAAAGAAGGTAATATTTGCTCTCTTTCCTCTATATTTCAGAATGAATGTGTGTCTAAATCAATGAATGTCCCTTTTACAAATGATAACCACTCTTAATATAGTAGAAGAATCATACTTTGGATATAATTAAAAATACATAGTGGAGATCCCATGATAGATTAATTAATTAGCTTTTCCTTGATTCAAGCCGTGATTTCCGCCGCGATTCTCTCCCTACTTGCGGCTATAACGACTTTTTTGTTTCTTGGCTCGGTCTTGATCCTAGCCGATCTCGATCTTGATCGGTCTCTGGGTCTCGAGCTCGATCTTGGTCGAACTCGATATTGATCGGTCTCTAGGTCTCGAGCTCGATCTTGGCCGAACTCGATTTTGGTCGAACTCGATATTGATCGGTCTCTGGGGCCCGAGCTCGACAATCTAACTTCGCATCATGGCTCGATATTATAATGATCAACCTCGGACCATTATGTTTCAATCTCAATTTGTCATACGAAGGGCAGACTCGGTTTTGACCGTATACAGATAGTCCCCTCATTTCTCGGAAAGAAGATGACGAGAAACGATATGAATTTCCGAACTTCGATTTGGTGGATGGTGATGTCATCGACGAGCCCGATTGTGACGTATGCGACAAACGTCCCGTCGGTCCAGTTACCAAGGCATTAAATGTGCGTCAGACGATGGTCGGCCACTACCAGTTTTGAACCGTCGTTGTGAAACCAATAAATAACTCCTTTCTTCATCATTCCGGACTTTTACTTTCAAATCTTTTTCATTCCTATCTTCATAGTTTTTTGCCTTCTCCAAAGCTCCCTATTTCTAGGTTTTCAAATTTCTTCGCTTGTTCTTCTTAAAATACCAAATACTTTAATCTCCTATCTCCTTTATTCACAAAAATTAAATGGTAAAAACATCTAAAACCTTTTCGCAGAAAGAGATTACTTCCTCATCTCGTCTGGCTGGCGAGAAACTAGTGGTAGAGCCACGCCTTGAAGAACTTATTCCCGGGTGTGTGTTATTGATTCTGACTTTAAGGTCGAGAAACCCTTATCGGTTGTTGGTCGATGCGAACCGGTATCGAGATATATATGCTCGATACCCAAAAGTCTTCTTGATCTAGTGAAGAAAGATTGAAATTGGGAAAACAAAGAGGTTGTGATACCGGCACCGAAGGAAGCGATCACTACCCACGTGGAAGGATACCTGAGTATTTACACTTATCCTTTCACGTTGGGTCCCCTCGATCCGGTCATCGTCAATTTTTGCAAGAAAAACCAGGTGACCCTCGGCCAGATTCACCCTTCTTTTTAGAGAATCGTGATACTCCTCCGTTTCTTTGTGAGCAAAATCGACGGGCTTCCCTTCACCCTCGACCACCTCATAAGATTATATAGCCCTCGACTCTACCGAGGTGGGCTGATAAAGCTTCAACGCCGGGCCACCAAAGCGTTCACCTTAAGTATAGATGAAGAAAAAGATCAGGGCTGGATGGGCCGGTTTGTTCGGGTGAAGACCTCGGACCTAATCCCGATTGAGAGTATGCCATTTCCTAAGAAATGGAATATGAATCGTAAGTATGATCCCGTTTTTAGTTTTTATTATTTTTACTTCTTCATCTTTTCTTATCAGTGTTTTCCTCGACGCAACCGTCGCTTGGATACCAGATGCGGTTCCCCATCTTGAGAACTGGGTCAGAAGCTTGGTTTCGACATCAACATACGCCGAGCGCGCGTGGCGCGATTTGTCAAAGGGCCGGTGGGAGGCTCGTAATCATGGTAAACCTTCTTCTTTGGCTTACCGATTTGCATATCGTTCAAGCATTCTTCTTCTCAAGTATTGGTTTATTTACTTTCTCCTTTTGTAGGTCTCAGAAAGGATACGGCTATGAGACCCTTGTCCGGCGATGAAGAAGCTTTACCACATGTCTCGAAACCGGCGATGGTGATTAAGAGAAAGAGGGCCTCGAATTCTGAGGGTCAAAAACTCAAGAAGAGAGCGGCCCGTAAACCCAAGGGGAACACAATCCCACTGACTGTGGAGTCAGTCCAAATATTAAGGGATGAAGAAGAAGAAGAAGAAGAAGTACGTGGTTCTGGGCTGGTGTCCCGTGCATGAGCTGGCACCAATATTCAGAAAACTTCGGGACCGGCGAGGCTTGATAATGCTCCGTCCAGGCTCGATGAGGTCGAGGAGGAGACTCCGGCCCAAGTTCCCGGACCGAGGAGAATCAAAGATGCTTTACCTCGGGGCTAAGGAACCGTTGAAGAGGCGGTGGATGCTGATGCAGAAACCGGTTTTGAGGCTTGTCAAGACGGAGGTGGTGCCCCAAAGAACCTACTTGGGGCAATAGAGATCGGAGATTCCCCCTCGTTTCCTTTATTTTCCCAGTCGATGATACGTGATGCTCAGACCGTGGAGACTTGTCACGGGGAGGGAGCCCATGGAGAGGAAGACCCTTTTCGTGGTTATTTTGTTGGGATAGAAGATTCCACCGGTCTGAGTGATTTGGAGGCTCCGAAGAGGAGCTCAGGCGAGGTGGGAGTTTCTTGTCTTTTCAGCGAAGCTCAACAGGCCCTGAATCGGGTAAGTTCATTTTCTATTTGTTAATACTTGTATTTTCTTTCCTTGTATAGTCCCGTCTTTCTATTTTTATAGGCCTCTATGCTTCATCACGAGGTGTTTCTCTGATCCCGAGGGGAGCTGAGCCGGCATGAAGCCGAAATCCGAGGGCTTACTGAGGAGAGAGATGCCTTCAAGCTTCTCAGTAAGCGGAGAGAAGGGGAAGCAAAAGGACTTCGGGCTGAGCTAGAAGCAGCTCGAAAAGAACAAGCCGATTTGTCCGAGCAGGTAAAAATAATCTTTGAAGTTAATGACACTGACTTGAGCGTGATGTCTAACAGTTCAGTCCCACAAGTCCATCAAAAGCTCGATGTGATCAGGCAGCTTCGTGTTGAAGTGGACGCAGTGAAAGCGGAGGCGAGGAGTGGAAAAAGAACATGGACCGCCTTGCCTCAGAAAAGGAGGATGCCCGAGCTCAACTGGCCTCGGTTGAGACCCAACTCTGAAGCTTGAAAGAGAAAGCCTTGGTGCAAGCCAAGAAAATCGAGGAGTTCCAGTTTCGGTTAGGCTGAACAACTTCTGATCGAGAGAGACTCGCCACAGAACTTGCAGCAGCCAAATTGGAGGTCGAAATAGCTACGGCTAATGCTGATGCAATGGGGGCCGTCTACCGGTCCGACGCTGAAGCTGCTCAGGTTTGAGCAAAGGAGGTTGCCGAGGTTGCTCAAGCTCGAGAAAACTGGGTTGTCGAGCATGCTAAATGCCAATCTTGGAGGGAGACTCTCGAGGAGATCCATGCTCGTGGCTTCCATCTTACAGGCGAGATCCAGAATGCTAAGGAGCTTGAAGCCGAAACCAGAGTGTTGGACTTTCCTGATGATATGATACCGGGAGCATGAGAGGATCTGAAAGAAAAGGAGGCCTCGA